CTGGACTGGCCCAGTTACAAACAAACCAGAACCGGTCCAAATCAAACCAGAAACCCTAAACATTTGGGTTTCCAGTTAGGGTTTCCTAACCCTAATCTAAACCAGCCGCCATCTTCAATCCCAGCCGTTGGATCTGGTTTGATCCAACGGTCCACAGTTTGCCAGAGGAAACCCTAGGGTATCTATACCCTAGGGACACGTCCCAGCGCCGCCGCTGCTGCTTCCAGAAGCCTTCACCGCCACACCAACGTTCCAGCCTCCACCACGTCTACCAAAGAGTCCAGAAGGCCGGCCGTAGCCGCACACGTCTTCCCCAAACGGTGAGTCACCACTGGGAGTCCGGTGACTCACCAAAGGGCATTCTTCGGACCGGTCCGACGGCTACAACGGTGGTGGCTATAAAAACCACCACCCCAACCTGAAAAAAAAACGGAGACAGAACCGGAGAGAAAAAAAAAACAGAGAGAAAGAAAAAAAAACAACTAAACCAACGATCTCAGTCAGCATCAACGCAGCAAGGAAAAAAAGAGAGAAGAGAGGAAGAAGCTTACCCTATCATCGGAGAACCCCAACCGTCGCCGGATACAACAAAACCGAAGGTATATTTGTAGATCTGCTCCGATTGGGAGCTTTTTAAGGAAAAAGAACACCGGAAACGGTTTTAGACCGTCCCGATCTATATTCTGGTAGATTTTTGTAATTTCCGGCCACCATTAACGGTGGCCGGCAGCGGTGGTCGGAGCCGATAGCGGTGGCTGACCGGGAAGGCTTCTCTCAGTTTAGAGAGAAGCCAGAGAATTCTTCTCTCTGTTTGAGAGAAAAAAAAAAAAGAAGAAATGAGATAGCTGGCCCTTCGGGCCAGCCGGTTTGGACCATATATAGTCCTTCCCAAACGACGTCGTTTCGGGAAGGACTATGCGCGTAATTATAAAATAGTTAAACCCTATCCGCAGTCCTCCGAACTTGTAAACTTTACATTTTAGTCACTAAATTGAATTTATAATATTTTTAATTCATTCTTCGAATTTTAATTTCTTTTATTTTAGTCCTTCATATTAAAATAATATATTTAGGATAAATTACAGATTTAATCCATTAATTTTAATAAATAATATTTTAATCCTTAGTTTATATTTTTAATTTATTTTATTATAATATCCGAATTTTAGATCATTTTATTTTAGTCAATAATTATTAAATAAAGAAATAACATATTTAATCCCTATAATTTTGATTAATTATGAATTAGATTTTTAATTTTATTTTTACTATAATTTAGTCCGTTATTTTATATGTCTTCATTTATTTTATTGTTTTTAAATATATTGTTTTAATAGTATTTTATTTTTATTTTTATTTTATTATTATATTATTAAATATTTTTATATATTCATAAATATATATAATAATAGTAATTTTTAAATATTTATTTTAATATCGAAGAAAAGGACAGTCTTAATACAACTGGATGTCCTATTCTGATATTTTAAAATTAAAAAGTAAACAATATTATTTAAATTAATATTTATCAATATCAAAGAAAAGAGCTGTCTTAAGGCACCTAGAAGTTCTTTTCTGATATTTTTAAAATATTTTTTTAATTTTGAAATAATAGAATTATAAATTAAATATATTTTTGAATTTTTAAAATTTTAATAATAGAGACAATTTATAATTAAAAAGTACCAATTTTGGGCGTTGTAGGGGTGCTAATCCTTCCCTAAACGTAACCGACCACGAATCCCTTTTTATTATTAAAAAAAACGAATTTTTGGTTAAAACGCAGATCAATTTATCTTTTAATTGATGTTTTCTTAAAAACTCTTTCAAAAGATATTTTTTAGGTATTCGACCTACCTGACCCAAAAGGCCGATGGCGACTCACAAATTATTTTCAAAACCATTTATTCACATCAATTTCCCTGCCAAAATAAATATTTCGTGCCCGGACGAATACCGGTTACGACAGTGTTGTTAGTTGGTCAACTGTCACTAGTAGGTGGATGTGGGAGGGGATTTGTGATAGGAGGGATAAGCTGAGTTGGCATAAGCTCATTTGGTTTCTTAAGCACATCCCTAAGCATTCGATTATAGCTCAGATGACTTGCTTGGATAGATTACCTACTAAAGATAAGCTTATCTGATTTGATATTTTTTTGGATGAGATTTGTAGCTTATGTGGAGTGGCGTTGGAATCCCGTGATCATTTGTTTGTTGATTGTGGATTTTCTATGGGTGTTTGGCGGGGAATTTTGAGGCTTTATGGGCTCTATTTAAACCCTATGAGTTGGGAGCAGTTTGTGCTTTGGGAGGTGGAAAATTGGAAAGGTAATTCGCTTCTTACTTGTATTCTTAAGCCTTCTTGGGTTGGCTGTGTATAGTGTGTGGGAAGAACGTAATTTTAGGCAATTCATAGGTGTTGTTCGATCGAGTGAGCTTATTGTTGATAACATAAAAGAGACCGCTTGTATTAAACTTGGTAATACTTGTATAGATAAGGGGGATAAGGTGAACATTAGGTTGTGTTCTGCACGGGGACTGCCTTAATTGGGGGTCCTTTTGGTCTGTTGTAGCAGCTTGACAACTTTCATTTTACTTAATGGAATTCGTGAACTATCCCAAAAAAATTAGGGTTAAGTGTTTAACTCAAACTTAAGCTCTCCCAAACTAAAGTTAAGTGCCCAAAAATCGATTGAGTGGTTGCCATCCTTTCTCTCATCTTTCTGGATTTAAATATCTTCTTATAAATTATTTTATAATTTTTTAACTTTCTAATACAATTTAAAACACATCAATAGAATATTGGTAGCTCAAGTTATGAGCATTTAAGTGAAAACTACATGTGTTTTGTCTCTAGACGAAATTTAAAAGATCTATTCATAGACCAAAATACAATAAAAATTAAGTACAAGTTTAAATAGAGAATTTTAACTCTAGACGAAATTTAAAAGATCTATTCATTTTATTTATATTTAAATAAGATTATGACTCTTTGAAGAAAAAATAGGATCATTTTACATGAAATTAAGAATTTTTAAAAAGTTTTAGTTACATTCAATCATATCTCTTAAATTATTGACTGAAACAGGATGGAGTTACGTTGGGTCCAAATAGGTCTATGTTACTATAAAAATTTTATATATTCGATAATTTTTAATTTAATAGTGTTTTGATTTGTGTAAAAATAAATATTTAAATTAAATATATATTAAATATTTAATTAAATATGGGTCGAAGTAAATAAAAATAATCTCATGTTCTTAAATTTTTGTCTAATAACAATTTAGTTAATTGTATGTATAAATATTATACAAACTAGACATTATCTTCAAAATTTTGAATTTAAATATTTAATAAATTATTACATATTTTTTAAAAATATTTAATTTTTTTGGACTCTTCTCAATATTTAATCTTGACACTGTGCCTGGACTGAAACATATCTTCAGAGTTTCGTTTAATATATAAGAGTCGATTAATTTATTTACCTATAAATGTGTTATTTACTTTTCTATTGAGAGACAATGAAGATAAGTTTTTCATAAAAAAAATAATTTTGAGTCTTTTTCTTTTGAGGGTTGATTAATTTACCCTTTTTTCCCTTATAATCCATGTTATTATATAAGAGTTATCTGATGCAGTAGTCCAATCATCATTGTTGGTAATTGAAAGTTAGTTAAAAATATGTGCAAAATTATCCTATTATCTTCATTGTTATTCAAAAGTTGATTAATGACATATATCAAGACCACACTTATTAAATAAGTATATTAATAATTAGAGTAAAATTTAATTTTTTTCATTGGTTTGTGATTTTTTTATTGATCGGCGGCACTAATTTTAATGTTAGTTGTCGAACACCAATATTTTTTATTATCTTTTTTTCTTATATCACATTTTTTTTTATATAAGTTTACATATATGAAACATTTTCTTTTATTTTTTGATATGTTTTTTCGGTTGTTTGGTTATTTTTTTTTCATTTATATTTTTCTAAGGGTTGATTTAATATTACCACGACTTATCAAGATGCATCTTGTTTATCTTTCATGCTTTGGACCCTCAAATTAAATTTGGATACCCAATTTGCGTTCGTGGATAGTTTTTCACATCGTTTGAATTTGATTTGTGATTTTTCAGTAGTCTTTTAGTAGCTTAATCCTCATTTTGTGTTTCGTTTGCCAATACAATTAGATCTATTTGTATTTGTCTTTATTTGAGTTTATTGGTTAGGTTTTTAATTTTTCCTTGTATGGTCCTTATATGATCTTAAGTTGCTAATTTTGTTTCAATTATTATAGAAAATTGTTCTAATTATATGCTTAATTTATGATTATTATATTAAATCTTTATTTTAATTCAATATATTTTCTATTTTAAATAAAATTAGTGACTTGTATAAAAATAATTAAATTAATAAATATAGTTGAAATATTAATTATAAAATGTATAAAAAGAAATAGTTTGGTCCATTAGCATTTATTTCGTCTAGATTGTAATGAAAAAGGATCAAAGCTATTAAGAATATAGTAGAATTGTCCAATATTAACTATAAAAATATTTGAGTAGTTTAAGTGATTATAAAGTAGGAATATACACTTAATTACAAACCACGTGTTTGAACTTAAATTTTTAAAAAATAATAATTATTTTTAAAAACACTTGTTTAAATTTAAAACATCTAAAGATAATGATCATTTTTCAATTGGTATATTAATTTTAACTTGTAATTTTTTATTCCGTGACCGAACAGCCATTAATAACAGTGTAGTAACAATAAATTGTGGCTGCCTATACGGATGAAAAACATGATATTTATGAGACCGTCTACCCCCACAGCGATAACTAATGAAAGCTGAAAAGTAAATTATCGAACAACCCAACAATGTACATCTATCATACAAGCTTGAATCTCATCTTCTATAAATGCATACACCACATAGATAACCATTATATGCAGTTCTTTCATAGATATATTAGCATTCAGAGTTATAATCATCATGGTGAAATACTTGAATGTAGAAGAAGATACTGAGTATTCAGAGCCAGTCAGTCCCACCGGACAGTATTTCAACAGCTCAGTGCTCTCCATTTGCGTTCTCGCCGTTTTGGACTCCGAAATCCCGATAGATGATTCTCCGACGTTGTCTTTGCTTCGAGATGTCTTCCTTCCGATCAATCATCGCTTCTCCTCCATCATGGTACATTTTTTTTTTCTTTTGAATAGGTTAGGTTTTTAACCATTTAACAATGCACGCAACTGTTCGGAACATTGATTATTAATTTATCATGATAAACAACAGGTTAATGATGAGAATGGTGTAAAGCAATGGAAGAAGGTTGAAGTGAAGCTTGAAGAACATGTAAATATCCCAGTTTTCCCTCCCGGATTATCTCCCGAATCTTACGACACTCATCTAAGCGACTATCTGTCCAAGATTGCAATGGAACAACTCCAACATAACCGGCCGCTGTGGAACATTCATATCATCAAGTACCCGACAAGCAACGCAGCTGGTAATCTAATATTCAAGCTCCATCATTCACTTGGTGACGGCTACTCTCTCATGGGCGCTCTTCTTTCTTGTCTGCAAAGAGCCGAGAATCCCAATGTTCCATTGACATTTCCTTCGCTTACTTCAGCCCCAACCACGAAACTCTCTGTCGAAAACAACAGCTTTTTGAGGAACGTTCCTAATGTTTTATGGTCAGCTTTCAACACCGTATCGGATTTTGGGTGGAGCCTGTTGAAAAGCACTTATGTTGAAGATGATAAAAGCATGATAAGATCTGGGGTTACTGGGGTAGAGCTCAAGCCTGTTGTTGTCTCAACAATGACATTTTCTCTTCATCACATCAAACAAATCAAGAACAAGCTTGGAGTGGTATGTTTTTTTTATCTCCCATCCACATTAAATAACACATTAATTGTTTTAATTCAAACTGCCTAACTTGTTGTACATCGATTTGAAATGACCGATATTATATAACAATGCATTTAAGAACCTGCAGTTTTCCACCAACTTTTTTCTTGGGAAAATCAAAATGATATCTTTATCTTTATGTTTTCGTTGTTTATGTTTATTCATCCACATCCTTCGTTCACACAAAGGTAGTGCCGGGATTTATGCCTTAAAACCAGTTTTCTGTTCTTAATCTTACAGTTTTTGTTTTTTGGGGCTCATTAACAGACAATAAATGATGTAATAACGGGGATAATATTTTTGGGGACTCGATTATACATGCAAGGAACTGTTGGAGGAAGCAATAAGCTGAACAATGAACACACGACAGCACTTGTGCTGCTCAATACTAGGGTAATCGGAGGGTACAAATCGGTGAAGGAGATGGTCAAACCCGACGCAGAATCGGCATGGGGAAACCAGTTCGGGTTCTTACATGTTTCATTGCCTGAATTAAGCAGTGCCGAATCTTGTCAACCGCTTGATTTTGTTTGGAAAGCACAGAAACTCATCCAGAGAAAACGAAACTCCAGTGCTGTTTTTCTTACTGGTCTGCTTCTGGAATGCTTGAGGAAATATACAGGCCCTGAGGTATGTAATATTTCTTTGCCATATGATAAAATATTTTTAACGTTGAATTAAATAATTATTTCAATTTTTAATTTTATTTTTTGAGATAAGAAAATTTTATGTGGATAAAAATCTGGTCAAAATGTTCTATATTAATAATTTTTATCTTAAAAATGAAATATTGGTAGTTAAAATGTAAAAAAAAATTAAAATGATTACTCAATTAAATATTAGAGATCTTCTACCTTAAACATTAAGAGTATTTTTTTATAGGATGAAGTACACAAATTGTCTCCTGACATAGGATACTGTTTTATTAAGTCATTTGACTATTAAAAGTTATAAAATTATTTTCTGACTATAAAATGTTACTTTGTTAAGTCTATTGATTATTAAAAGTTCCAAATGGTCAACCGACTATTTATTGTGTTACAAACTCTTCCCTTTTTATTAAAATTTAGGATTGTTTAAGTTTGACGTCAACATGATAATTGAGATATGATAGTCATTTGAGATTTTATGATTATAATTTATCATATCATAGTCAACATGTTAACATTCAGCTCAAAATACAATCAATTTTAAACAGAAAATTACAAATTTCATACATAATAAATAGTTGAGTGACCATTTTGTAACTTTTAATGTTGAATGACTCAAAAAAGTAACACTCTATAATTGGAGGATCATTTTTGTAACGTTTAATAGTTGAGGGACTAAAAAAAATAATACTCTGTGTTCGAAAACTATTTGTATACCTTACATTTTTTAATATTATATTCTTTCCATATTATCATATCTCAATTTGACCAACCTAAATATGAAAATATGGAGTAGACAGTTGTGTACAAAGATGGATCGATAGGTGTAGAAGCAATTACATTTTTAAAACTTTTAAATTTTTTACATGATTTATAATTTTTTATATATTTTATATTAATAATCTAATTTTAAATCTTTAAAATTTTATAGACTTATAGTTCTAAATTTTTAATTTGATTTTTAAAAAGTTTACATTGTTAACATAAAATCTTATATATATTCTTGTATATGTCCTATAGGCAACGGCAAAATACATACACAGCACATTAAAGAACTCGAGCATGACGATCTCGAATGTGATCGGACCGGTGGAAAAAATGGCATTGGCTGATCATCCGGTGAAAGGACTGTACTTTATGGTGGTCGGCGTGCCTCAGGTTTGTTTACAGAATTTTGCAGAAAATGAATGATATGGAAATATATTTGGTTTTGAAAGATGAATTTGCACTTTGCAGAGTCTAACCATAACAATGATGAGTTACATGGGAAAGCTGAGCGTTGCAGTAGGAGCCGAGAAAGGCTATTTAGATCCGATCAAGTTCAAGTCGGCGATCGAGACTGCCTTTGGGATGATACTCGATGCTTCCCAGGAAATCGCTTAATTACTATTACTTTATTTAGTTTTATTATGCTTTAGCTTTAATTCTAATATTTAATCTTTCATTTCTATTGTTTATTATTCTTAATGCATCATGAATGAGATTAGGTAAACCACATCATTGATTATTAATATTGGTTATTTATTAAGATTTGAGTAGGTTTTTTTCCTTATTAATATTTCAAAATTAATAATTTGATCACTAACAATATCGATTTAATAATAAATTGATCACTAACTATTAAAAATTATTATTAGAGGTAAAAAAAGTATTGATGTGACGTATTAATTCAGCTAACCTAACATCATTTTGTCATGCGAGACAACCATAAAAAACTCAATAATATTTTAGGACGATGAACTTGATATTGTCCCTCTACACTTTAGATCTCATTGTAAAATGTCATAGTAATGACGTTGCAGAAAAGGAACTCTACTCTTCGAGTCATAGGTAGGCAAGACGAGTTCACTTTGAAAGTGAAGGGATGGTCGTCTACATGAAAGTTTGTCTCGTATAGTAAAATAGTGTTTTCATGGCAGGATTAATGTGTCACATCAACATTTTTTTATTCAAGTAATAATTGTTATCGATAAATGACCGATTTATTATAAATTGATAATGTTAATGATTAAAATCATTTATTTTGAAACATCAATGGGGAAAAGAGTTTATGTTACTTTATTCAAAGAAAATTATCAATAGCTTGACTGTAATATAAAATCTTTTGAAATGAATACTTAAATAACGTGATAGAGCGTTTTCTCTATTAAAAAATAATTTGATCAACAATATTTAAAGTAGATAGTCAAAAGAATTCCGTTGATACATCCCATCTTCTCTAGATTGTCAGTTTGATAGTTACTGAGAATAAAAAAAAATTATATTTCTTTCAAATAGATATTATATTATCAGGAAAACATTTTTAACCCAACGCATCAAATAAACAAACAAACTTTCGAGGAATAACAAGTGAGATTGTTCTTAGAAGAAATTAAACTGTACAAAAAATGGTTTCACGAGAAAAATGGATCGATCAATAATTTATAATTAATTATAAATTTTATCATTCAACTTTAATTAATTATATTTTTATTTTGATTTCTAAATTAAAAAAAATCAATTTGATCGTTTAATTTAGACATCATTCAATATTTTATCACTCCATCATTAATTATTTAAGGAAATTATAGGAAGGTATACATCTTTTAAAATTTATGAAAATGTCCTAAAATTTTCTTTCAAATTTGTAAAAGAAAATGTGGGCACAAGATTTCATCCGGATGAACAAACTTGGAAGCCAAAAATTCAGATCCAGAGCCAAACCTAGACCCATATCCAACATTATAATAGCCATTTTCAGCCCAAAAGCCTACTCTTGTCAAGCCCAGAAACCAACCAGCTTCAGCCGACCCACTGATATATTAGGGGCACGATGTTGGGCGGGAAAATCCCCCAACTCACATCCCTATTGTGTTCATGGAAGTTGTTCCTTGGGATCGTCCTTGAATCAATACCTTCTTGCATTTTAGAAACATCCATTCACTCCCGTGCATTGGCATTTTCACAAAACACCAAATCATTTTAATCTGGAGGTTCATTAATGGCAGTGACCTTAGAATCGGGAGAAGATCAACAAATTCATCAACAAAAATCATTAACGAGACGATCAAATCAATAGTTTAATAACCTTAGTGGTAGTTTACCCTAACTTTTGTTCTGCTCTTGTGTTTTAATGTATTCCTCACTGTGTGTATTGTTGCCTATCATATATATATATATTCGGTAGGGATGGTCTTGAAAATTTAAAATTACCTTATGTAATTTAATTTTTTTCTATATATATATTTTATTGACAATATTTTTTATCTCTCTTGAAATTTTATAAATTTAAATTCGTCCTCTGAAATTTTAAAAATTCAAGTTCATCCGCCTAACATAAAATCTTATGTCCGTTCCTAATTTTTGGTAACGTGATAGGGTTAAGTGTGTTGTTGAATTCCAATCATTATTTTGCTTTTGTCCAAGGTTACCAACCTACTGTGTCATTATATGAAACCCCATGGGTCTACTAATATTTTCAGCACTTTACATGTTGTTGGCAAATCTGGTATTTGCGAAACCCTTTCTGTCAAAGTAACATGGATCCAGATTTCTAAAGGGTCCCGACCAATGATATATTGTGTGGTGTCGGATGGTTGCTTGACGAGGGCGTTCAGATCAGATCCATGCATTGATCAATACTATATCAAGTGACCAAGAAAAAGAAAATGAAAAAACAATATCATTGCATCCATTGTAAAGGTTCATGATCTATATTATTACACAGTCAAGAACACAATTTTGACGCAACAGCAGCGGCCAACACCAGCAAACCGAGCTAGTTAGCTATACACTTATTTCGAAAACAATAAGGCAGCTCTTCCTTAAATTGTTCTCTTAAATTGTTCTCTTAAATTGTTCTTGGTTTTTTGTCATCACACAACAGGGAAATCCCACGTTTCAGTATAGATTTCGTAGTTTAAATCCCACGTTTCGGGAAGGACATCGAAGTTCCATAACTCTTGTTGCAGTTGATCATCTTCGCAGCTGGATTCATGCACCAACTTGTTCAGTTTGTTCTTTATTATTTGTGCTCCAACAAATGCTCCAATCTGCCACCAACGTATCAATTAGATTTTTTATTTACCTCAGCATGTGATATCAAATTAATTACCTCGGCATGAAGCACGTGGAAAACTGTATTCCCGACAACGGAGAAGCTGGCGTTTACTACTTCAGCTCCATGTTGGTTTAGTATGCCGATCATATCGTAAAACATGAACTGGCTGTCTTTTCCGGTCGTCAAAACCACCTCCATGGCGGATTCGTTTTCGTTGATCTTAAGCTCAGGAGCTTTCAATCTCACTTTGGTCTCAATTTTGCATGTATAAGATCTCTTTCTTCTCGTCAAGCTTTCCTTTTTATCCCTGTATTCATTCAACCTCGTCTTCAAGCTCTTTATGTAGTTCACAGCTTCATCTATTTGATCAGGAAGTGACAATGGCTTCTGCAAAACAAAACCCAGATTCAAATCAAAACTGAAACTCTTCTAAGATTTGAATGAAAAGGAAACAAACCTTGGAATCATGGAGGGGGAGAAGAGAATGAGCTTGGAGTACAAATTCTTCATGCTGTTCTCCTGTTCTTCTCGATGATCTTCCTCTCGATCTTAGCTGAAGAGCGACGAGGCCTCTTCTTTTCCATTCCCTTATTGTGAGACAAGAATTCCATTTGAGGCTCCATTGATGAAGATGATTTAAGGGGTGGTTTATATAGAGACGCTGAAAACAGGTGTTTTAGGGTGGAAAACGCCGGAGCTTCAGTGGATTCCGATTATCAAGCAAATGTTGAATATATGACAACACGTTGACATCGTCACTTATATTGCGTCACCCTTCGTAATAAGCATTACGGATAATTAAAATGTAAAATTCATGCATGAAAATTTATATTAGTTTAAATTATTTAGTGATGCATATTAACTGTCCATTTATTAAGAGAATTTTGCTTTTTAATAAGTTTTGAATTTTATGTTAGAACTCGATGATTGACAATTACAATTCTAATAATTAAAATAAATTTAACTTAATTATGTGGGTAATAATAAAAAAAAATTGTTATTTTATTAGTGTGAAATGATTACAAAATATTATATATATATATATATATATATATTTTAATTTATTGATAATGCACACATATACAAGTACAACAACTTAAATTTAATATCTTTAAAGAAAATAATATTCTCTTAATTAAAATAAAATTTTAACTGATATTACTTTTTCTTTTATTGTAAATGAAGAATACATAAGCTATATCACAATACATGTGTCAAGTATCATTTATCAGCAAGTTAGAGACTGTTGCAAGAGGAATAGAAAATCTACTAGCACCAATGAAAACCTTGGCCGTTGCATCCGCAACACGATTAGCATCTTGACGAATATGGGAGAACTGAAGTTGTCAGTTCTGGGAAGTGATTTCAATCAAATGGAGAATCATATGATCAACCTCTTCTATAGCCTTTCCTTGACAAAGTAACTAAAATATCTCTCTATTAACCGATTCGATCACCACATGTTTCATGTCCAGCTCTCACACGATGTTCAGTCCCTCATAAACACTCCATCAAGAACAGGACAACGTCCTAAAGCTTTTGTGAAACTCATAATCCAATTATTTTTTTTAAATATGAATAATTTAAGTTTAGTGAAAAAGGGTGAAATAAGTTTATACTAATTTAAATTTAAATTTTAATAATTTGTTTTTCAAATTTTATGGACCTAATAATTCAAGTATGAATGAGTAGAATATTAGAGGACTTTTGGTTTATTCTTTTTAAGGAAATCAAACTTAAAAGACCTAAATTTCAAACAATCCAAAAAGTAATAATTTCATTGTCGATATGAGACTCGATATATAACAAAATAGGATGACCTAAAATTGATTTGAAACCCGAAATAACCCGAATCGAATTGAAATTGATATGGATTAGTTGGACTGAAAGTAACCCGAACTGAAAGAAACTCGAACCGAAAGCAACCCGAACCGAAAGCAACTCGAACCGAAAGTAACCCGAACCGAAAGCAACCCGAACCGAAAGTAACCCGAACCGAAAGCAACCCAAATTTAGTTTACCCATACCTGATCTGAACCGAATTTCAACCCGATTTTAACATGATAATTGAGTCTAATAGGATGAATAATTTATTTATTTTATTATTATTATTATTATCTAATTTTAGAATTGATAAATAGTAAAATGATCTATGTTTTATCCTCATTTATTATTATACTACTTGTTAACTACCATTTTTAGTAATAGTTTAATGGTTCAATATAATTTTTTCTCCGTTAAAAGACCATCTCTATGTTCGATGAAATAACTTATAGCTTTGAATTTGAACTATGATAATATATATTCACATAAAATTCTTGATTTTAAAGATTTATTGATTCAATTGATTAAAATTAAA